TACTTCACAGTGTGCTGGTATGTATGTGTGCGCGTGGTGTGCTCGCACCTCCTCTATGGTGTTATGAAATACGCCCACAAATTGTTTCGGCATCCCACATGATCCCTGGAAGACCCCATTCTTGGTCAACAGGTAATGGCGATCAGCTCCCAAATTGATGCTCGCGACACAGTTTTTTAGCCGTTGTTCTGCGAAAGCCTGCAGATCATCTCGAACAACTTTCTCGCTTAGACGATGGAGAGAGGTAGTACTAGAACACATGAATGAATTGCTCAAGTCATGTAGTCCATTCAGATGCGGAGTATGTTGAGAACGCAATGCATGTCCAACTCGCTGCTGCACCAAGATCGCACCCTCCCTCCTCCGATGTCTTAAGAACCCATGCCACCATCCAGGGAAATCAGACTCGTGGTGTTTTGCCTCCTCCCCCCAGGAATATATAACATAATACCAGAACTTCCAAAAAGTGTCCAGGAGGTGAACCACCCGTACGCTCTTCATTTTAGCCTGGCCGCTACACTTGTCCAATCGTACCCCTTCTGTGGTATTCGCTTTAGTAGGCAACTGTTCGACCTGCTGTGCATGACTAGTGATTCCCGTGAACTCCCACCGCGTTCGCAGTAGAGAGGCCGAGGGTGACAGACGATTGGCACGACCATCCTTCGCACGCTCCCTGTCCCCCCCTCGGGTGGAGGGTCTGGGCTGCCCCCCTCTCACGCTGAACTGTGTACCTGACTCATGCTCCTCCGACTCGCCAATAGCAGGAAAAATATCATCATCCTCCCCTCCAAATTCCTCCGGCTGGTGAATAGCAGGAAAAAGCTCATCATCCTCAGCTCCCCTTGCCTGGTAACCCAGACCTACATGTTGCATTGTGCCAACACCATGCCTATCATCTGCTTCTTCTAGACTGTCAAATCCGAGACCAAAGCGTTGAAAACGAGAATGTGATAGGTGCCCAGGGTCCAAGACTATGATTGCAACTTCGACTGGTACGCTCCAGCTTACTGTAGCTCGTCGCTTTTTGGCTCTCCGAAGTTTGTAAAAAAGTCGATTAACAGAGGCCTCGGCAACAAGTTCCATCTTCGTCGTGCGCATAAGTGTGCCAGCAATAGGTGGGACTGCTAGAAACTCTTCCAACTGCGCATGGTAATTCGGAGGGTGCGTCGCATCCATACAGCCGGCAGCACCATGTGACCGAAGTGATTCGTGAAGTTCATCAAAGTCGGACATGAAGCCCGCTACATGGTTGTACTTACGATTTTTTACACCTGGAGAGCGGCCTGCTAACGCACGGGCCAAACGATGTACCTCCGCCTGGTGTCCTAGCTGTCTGGCTTCTCGCAGAGACTCCATCATTTCCTCTTGTTTGCGTGCACGCGTGCGCCTAAACAACCGTCGCAGCATATAGCTAATACGTTTAATACGCAAACAATGTTCAAGGTGGGCGTCCGTACAGTCAGTCAAATGGCCATAGTGCTCCCAGTATTGGTGTGCAGCCCAACTATGTTGTCTACGTTCCTTAACTAGCCGAAGGCGCTCCATGCGTAACACTCGATGCACATCATGTGGGGGTTTTGGTTTCAGCTCGAAATGGTCTCTGGCAACTTTCTTGACTACGCTGATCCATTCGTCGTAATGACGATCAGTGTGCCCATCATCTCGGTACTTCTCAAAATCCGAGATCAGAAATGCCCGTTCGAGGTCACGGTGGAACTCAAGACGATGAACCCCAGACTGGAGAGAGTCAGCAAGCTTCTGAAAATCCCATCTAAAATACTCTGGATCAGGCACGTGTGTCGGTAGACAGTAGGTTAGCTCCAACAGCACAGGCATGTGGTCCCGAGGTCTGGCACTAGGTATGAGCTGTACGCCCACTGCGCCATGCTACTTGGCATCGTCGGACCCCTGGACCAAGCCCCCGCGGAATGATGAGCATGTCTATCGTGCTAGTCTCCCCCTGCGTGCCGTAGTATGTAGGCCCAGCTCGTGCGGTATGGAGGAGGAGGAGAAGGAGGAGGAGGAGGAAGGAACAGGAGGAGCACGAGGAGGAGGAGGGATGCTGGCCCTGGCCAGGGAGGGCGGTTGTGTACCGATGTCTTCCGCCTGCGGTCCTCCACCCCGTCCGGCGTCGGGTTGGTCCACATCACCGCGCAGCCTGCGCGGGGCCTGAAGCTCAGGCCCAGGTGCGGGAAGAAGGTGTCGCCACCAAGGTCGTCCTCATAGAGGCCACCCAGACGGGGTCCGAGTAGATGGGGTCTGAGGATCGCGCCGCGTCGGCGCGGTCGGCGTGGAACAATCTGGCTCGGCATCGAGCCATATCGTCGATGCATCGGCGATGCGGCGCGATCCTCCGACCCCTTCTACTCGGACCCCTGGGAGGCCTCGAGTCCTCTGGCAGGTCGTTGAGGTAGACGAAAACCGTGCGGGGCCTGAACTTGCCGTCGTGGTGCTCGCTGAAATGCTCCCCTGGAGCGTACCTGACAACCGTCGGCCGCTCCTGGGGTCAACCAACAGATATCGACACCGCTACTCCTGCAACCTCTCCCAAGGTGCATTCTGACCCAAATTTCAAGGCGAATCCAGCCGTGGACGTTGGCCTCCCAAGAGGCCCAACAAGGCGAAAACGAGGCAAGGGCAGAATCGGTACCCTTTCCTCCTCTGAGCTCCAAGGTCTCCACGGGGAGCTTCGCCAGGCTGGCGAGCCTCTGCTCGATGCGGTCCACGGCCGAGGTCTGCCTGGCCCTAAGCATGCAGCTGGTGGACGTGCGGGTCTGCGACTGCCTGGACTTGATGCCGCCCGTGGAGCCGCTTGTCGTGAGTTGCTAGAACGGCCCTGGCCCACGGTGCCCCCGGCGTTTCGCTTCGTGTTGGAGCCCCCGTGGCTCTCCGGGCCTCGTGCGGGGTGCTCATGGAGGCCGTGGGGGCCCCTCTGGAAAAGCCGAGGCTGCCTTGGGCCGGGGGGCACCTCCAGCAACACCCGAGCTTGGCGCGTCGGACGCGGCGCCCGCGCCGACGGCGTCCTGGTCCCCGTCGGCCGCGAGGGAGCCCACCAGGGACCGCGTCCAGAGGCCCTCCGCCAGCTCGCGCACGTGCGCGCACTCCGCCCCGGAGAGGAAGTGGGGCACCACCACGATGCGGGGGTCCTCCGGGGAGCGGGTGTTGCCAGAAGTGCCCCTGGGCCACGGTGCCCCCAGGATTCTAGGGGCACCCCAATCGGCCTCCAGAGCACCCCTCGCGAGTCCCAGAGGCCCCCATGGGGCTCCAAAGTGGAGCGACAAGCCGGGGGCACCTTGGGCCAGGGGTGCTTCTAGCAACACCCGAGGGGAGCGCACGAGGTCGGCAGGCGGCCTCGCTCCGACCGCTGGTCTCTTGGCTGCGCTGGCTCGATCTGCGGGCCCACGGGGAGGGCCCCTCCCTCGGCCTCCAGGCTGCAGTGGTGGTGCTCGTGGTGGCGCTCTTGGGCGCTCGAAATTTGCACGGACCACGTGGGCACGATGCCCAAAGCAAGGGTTGTCCAAAACAGGCAGCGGCCGCTGTTGGGCAGGCGGCCTTCTGTCCCAAACGTCCAACGCCCGCGGCGGCACGGACACCGACCCCTGTTCAAAATGGACAGGGACTGCCGTCAGTCTTCGTGCCCATTCTTTCCGTGCTCATGCCGGTCGTACCGAGCGCCTGGAGGAGACCAGGGAGCCTAGACTACTGTTTGAGACCCCATGAAATCTATTAGGGGGGATGAAGCCAAATCCGCTCAAAATCGGTCTGCGGACCCCTCCTGGGGTCCATCTGGTGAATGTTTTCGCCCCTGATCCGTTCCTGTCAGTTCCGAGCTACGAATGCGACTTCCAAGACAGAAACAACAAAATAAACCTGCCTGGACCCAAACTTTCGAGCCTCGTCCGCCCACTTCCTGTTCGCTGCAACCAATGCCAGGCTACCTCAGATCCCCAACCGGCTCCAAGCTCGAAATGGACAGGAACTGCTGTCAGTCTTCGCATCCATTCCTAGAGGTCTCCTTGATGGGGTCCGAATAGATGGTGTCGGGCGATCGCGCCGCATCGCCGATACATCGGCGATGTATCGGAGATGTATCGCCGATCCATCGGCGACGTATCGGAGATGTATCGGCGATGAATCGGCGATGCAGCGTCGACATCGGCGATGCATCGGCGACGTCGACGTGAAGCAAATCGGGCTCCACATCGGCTCCGACCACATCCACTCCGACCCCACCTAAGAAGCATAGACTGATTCTTTCCGTCCTGCTTCCGACCGTGCTGACATCGGGAGCGGCCAAGAGGGGGGTGTCCAAGAGGGGGGGGGTGCAAATCATGACCGGCGGCATGTGCGCGGCCCAGCGGGGGGGCCAGGGACGTAATGAAACAAGAAGAGGCACCATGAAATCTGGGGAGATATCATGGCCCACGCCATGATATCCACCCCCCCCTAGTCATCACCCCCCTCTTTTCCGCCCCCGATGACAGAGAGTCCTCGCTGACGACGAAGGTGCGCAGCTCCACCGGCTGCCCGGTCTGCGGGTCTCGCCGCGGCGGCGGCCGCCCGCCCAGCAGCTGCAGGGCGTCCACGGCGCCGATAACCTCCCCCGGGCCGGGCGTCTCCCGTCCTGCTGGGCTCCTCGCGAGGCCTACTGTCAAGGGGCCCCAGGACACGCAAATAAATACACACAAATAAAAGGATTCTCCATATTTTCATATATTTTCTGGGTTTTTGTCTTCCCCCCCACTTCCCATATTTTCCCATATTTTCTTGGAAATCGACGATTAATTGTGTCTGTGTTTTTGTCCCATCCTGATACTGGATGGGGTCCGAGTAGGTGGGGTCGAACAATCGCGCCGCATCGCCAATCCATCGCCGATGCATCGGCGACGTCGGCGAGGCATCCGCGATGTGGGCGTGGGGAAAAGCGTGCTCCACATCGAGCCGCATCACCGATGCATCGGCGATGCGAAACGATACTCCGATCCCATCTACTGGGATCCCATCCGGGAGGCCTATGTCCTCAGGGATCGACCTAAGCAGTGCTCTTCGTTTCCGTTCTGGTGCTCCAGTCGTTTCGTCTTCAGCCCGCCTCTGCTGCAGGACGCAACCGGAATGAAAGCGGCCCACGAGATCGCCAACACATCGTTCAGGCCCACCCCTGGGGCCCCTCCTCGCCGTCCGCGTCAACACTGTCAGCACTCCTCTCGGGCTGGGCGAGAAGGGGGGGATAGCAAAGGGGGGATTTGAGAATCAGCTCACGTAGCTGATTTTCCTGGCGCCTTCCGGCGCCGGGAGGCGCCCATGTATCGAGGAATGGGCCCGGCGGTGGGGCCGAAACCAGCTGCATGCAGCAGGTTTCGTAACCCCCCCTTTCCCTATCCCCCTTTTTCGTTCGGCCCGATCCTCCTCGCCACTCCTTCCCCAGACGTGCTCGCGACGGACGGTCTTTGGCCGTCTGCGACCTCCAGGAGTGCTCGCAGGGCCCTATAGGGCAAACAACACACGACTCAGGATGAAGAATCAACTGGTCCCCATTGTCAACATTCAACACTGGTCCCCATTGTCCCTCTTCGCTACGTCATCTCTCCTTCCTCCTCCTCCTCCTCCTCCTCCTCCTCCTCCTCCTACTCCTCCTCCTCCTCCTCCTCCTCCTCCTCCTCCTCCTCCTCCTCCTCCTCCCTCGCGCGCCTCATTGTCAACATTGACAACATTGTCCCTCTTCGCCACTCCTTCCCCAGACGTGCTCGCGACGGACGGTCGATGGCCGTCTGCGGTCAACGACCGTCGTGTCCCATACGCATCCCCATCGTGTCCCCGCTGTCACCCTTCGTGGCCTACTTCGTGCCCTCCGTGGCCCTGCTGTCGTTCTCTCTCTCGCTCTCGCTTTCGCTCGTCGTCGTCGTCGTCGTCGTCGTCGTCGTCGTCGTCGTCGTCATCGTCGACTTCGTCAGCGTCGTCGGGTTGCCGCCGATCAGCGCTGCCGCTGGCCAGGCCGACGGTCCGCGGCCGCCCCGCCGCTTGCCGGGGCCCGGCCTGCACAGAAGAAAGGTATAACCCCCAAAAGGGGCACGATCGAAGACGAAGAAGGCGGGTATCGAGGGTTTGGGAACTACGCGTTAACTGACACTCGAGCAGATAAGAGCGAACAGTCTCAAAATGATTGTTGTTGTTGTTGTTGGTGGTGGTGGTGGTGGTGGTCGTGGTGTTGGTGGTGGTGGTGGTCGTGGTGTTATTGTTGTTGTTCCAGCAAGGAGAGACCCCCGGCGGCAACAGCGTGTGTCTGCGCGCGACCGCGGGAGCTCCGGGCTCCAAGTCAAGAGGAGGAGAAGGAGGAGGAGGAGGACGAGGAGGAGGAGGAGGAGGAGGAAGAGGAGGAGAAGGAGCGGAGGAGGAGGGGGAGGAGGAGGGAGGCGGAAGAGAAGGAGGAGAAGGGGGAGGAGGACGAGAACGAGGAGGAGGAGAAGGAGAAGGAGGAGGAGGAGGAGGAAGAGGAGCGGAGGAGGAGGAGGAGGAGGAGGAGGAGGAGGAGGAGGAGGAGGAGGAGGAGGAGGAGGAGTGCGGCCGTCCCAACCCCGCCGCCCGCCAGGCGCCAGGAACCACAGCGGGCCAGCACGTGTGTCCACCGAGGCCAACCCATGCGGCGCGTGCGGTCTGGCCACGGATGGCCAGCACGGGCTGCGTGCCCTCGGCGGAGCTGAGCGGGGCAGGCACACATTTGGCTCACACGCGTCCCGAGGATCATCGCCAAAGGTCACTCGCGGGAGCCATCAGAAAAGGGGGTGGCCCTGACAAGGGGGCATGAGTTCGATCCGCTCTGGCACCGAACTGCCGCAAACAGACGCACCCCGCGTGCCCCAGCTATCCGCAACTATCGGGAGCTGACGGCGGCTGGAGGGCATCTGCTGTGGACGGTTCGGTGGAAAACCGATCGATCGAACTCACACCCCAGGGGGGCACTCCCCTTTGCGGGATCCCGACGCTCTGTAGAGGCCTCCTAGATTCTAGATGGGGGTCGGAGGATCGCCCCAGCGATGCATCGCCGATGCATCGGCGGCGGCCGCGCCGAGAAAACCGGGCTGAACATCTGGCCGCAGCGCCGATGCGACGCGCCCAGGCTTCGACCTGCCGCATCCTCGTCCTGTGGCTCCTCCTCCTCCTCCTCTTCCTCCTCCTCCTCTTCCTACTGCTCCCCCTCCTCCTCCTCCTCCTCCTCCTCCTCCTCCTTTTCCTCCTCCTCCTCCTCCTCCACCTCCTCCTCCTCCTCCTCTTCCTGTCTTCCTCCTCCCCCTCCTCCACCCTGACGCACGGCCGCCCCCCCTCAGCAGCCTCGCTCTCTGGCAGCACCGTGATCCGCGCCATCGGGGGCGGCCGCCGCGGCGCCGCCGCGCCCCGCCGGGGCGGCCGCCGCGCTCCAGCACCCCCCCCAGCCCCAGCGGCCGCGACGCCCGACGGCCCGCGCGCGCAGAGGCGCGCCGCCCCCGCGAACGCCCTGGACGGCGA